GCGACATAAGCGGTCGCCCCCGATCCGCAAAAGAAAAAATGTTTTGAATGGTCATCTAACTCGGGCCTCTTTCTAGAGCTCCGACCTGAAGATCACTGACGTCATGATTTGACCTCGTATTTTTCCGAGTTCCCAGTTGTCTTGAACGCAATATAACAGTGAGCTACGAGTACAGGTGAAATTTTGCGTGCGTCTTTAAAACGCCATTATCTTGAACGCACTGAAGTCGGAAATGTCAGAGTTCCCAGTTGTTTTGAACGCGGCATTAGTACACCTGTTGTTTATGAATGATGTGACAAATAACATTTGATTTGATCACAGTGTAGCGAGCATGGCTCCTGGTAATTTATGCTTGATCTGAAAATGTGGCAGGAGGCGCCGTATGTATGGTGTGACGCACTTACTTAGCCTCTGGAGGCACGCATAGGCCAAATTGAGCTCTGTACGACATGGTCGTGCGCATCTAAAAATTAAGAATACTGAGGGCTCTGCATTGACATGATTGGTTGACGGTATAAACACATTCACTTCCTTGACAACTTCCTTCACAACAGCTCTGCGCAAAAGTGTGAATGCCCTGACTTCTGCAGAGGCCATATCACCCTAAATGCTGCAAGGCCAATGCAGATGGCAGAATGACCATGCAGCGCCTTTAATCTGCGTGAGTGTGTGCCAGGAGCGCAGCTCCCCAGGGACTGCCTGCACAGAGAAGCACGAGATTGAATTTCACTAAACTTTCTAGAGTTTTCCCCCTTAGTTAAGACTATCAACGTTTCCCTTTACTGTGGGAATTGTGATCGAATCAACGCAATATTAGCCACTTTCGATGCAACATACAGAAACAAAATAACTATGCAAGACTTAGTATGCAAAACTAACTATGCAAGAGATTTTGTTGTAGGCAGAAGGCATTGGAGTAGGATTCTATTGCATTGACAGGCACGACTCAGCCCATACTTGACACAAACCACTGCGTTGTAACCAATCAGAGCTCCAGTAGGCCTATATGCAAATAGGCCATTACCATAATGGATCTGTGCCATTCACTTTGAACTGGACTGTGTTTACAGTATGAACTGTCATTAGTAGATGTGCTTGTTTTGAGATCAAAGGGAGAGCTGCATGTAGCCACATGTGCACACCCGCCCACCCGACAGTAAGGAGCTTGATTTGGCCGCTGCATGCCTCCGGAGGTGCCGCAATTACGTCACATCCTCCATACCAAGCCTCCGACCACAGTTTCGGATCAAGCATAAATTGCCTTTGAGTTTAGTTTTTGAGTCTTTTAATGTCGGTTTTGTACACCAGATGAAAATACAATATTTTTGGTTATTGAAAATATATTTCACAGCGGTTTAGATGGTACAATGATTCTCTACACTGCTTATACATGGCTTATTCAAGTTAGGCGAATTATTTGAATTTTTGAAACCAGGAAATGGCGGAGCGATTTCTGCATATTGCACCTTTAAACGTTTTCTAATGTTGGCAAGTGTGGACCCATTGTGTTTCCATGGCCCATTCAACCCAATGCATTGCACTGTTTATGAAATACATATTGACCTGTAGAAAAAAAGTTAAGGGGATATTGGAAGTAGTGAAGTGTGTAGAATATAATCTGATGTTGTGTTTCCCATGAAAGGCTGATCCTTCTGTGGCCAAAATGGGATGCCTCAGTAAGGCAATATATAAACTGAACAAAAGTATAAAACACAACATGTTCGGTGTTGGTCCCATGTTTCATGAGCTGAAATCAAAGATCCCAGAAATGTTCCATGTTTACATCCCTGTTAGTGAGCATTTCTCCTTTGCCAAGATAATCCATCCACCTGACAGGTGTGCCATATCAAGAAGCTGATTAAACAGCATGATCATTGCACAGGTGCACCTTGTGCTGGGGACAATAAAACAATTTTTGTTACACAGATGTCTCACATTTTGAGGGAGCGTGCAATTGGCATGCTGACTGCAGGAATGTCGACCAGAGCTGTTGCCATAGGATTGGATGTTCATTTCTCTACCATAGCCGCCTCCAACGTCGTTTTAGAGAATTTGGCAGTATGTCCAACCGGCTTCACAACCGCTGACCATATGTAACCACGCCAGCTCAGGACCTCCACATCCAGTTTCTTCACCTGCGTGATTGACTGAGACCAGCCACCTGGACAGCTGATGAAACTGTGGGTTTGCACAGCCAAAGAATTTCTGCACAAACTGTCATAAAATGTCTCAGGGAAGCTCATCTGCGTGCTCATCATCCTCACCAGAGTCTTGACCTGACTGCAGTTCGGCGTCGTAACCGACTTCAGTGGGCAAATGCTCACCTTCGACAGCCACTGGCACGCTGGAGACGGATGAATCCCATGGCATTGTGTGGGCGAGCAGTTTGCTGATGTCAACGTTGTGAACATAGTGCCCCATGGTGGCGGTACGGTTATGGTATGGGCAGGCATAAGCTACGGACAATGAACACAATTGCATTTTATCGATGGCAATTTCAATGCACAGAGATACCGTGACGAGATCCTGAGGCCCATTGTCGTGCCATTCATCTTCCGCCATCACCTCATGTTTCAGCATGATAATGCACGGCCCCATGTCAAAAGGATCTGTCCGCAATTCCTGGAAGCTGAAAATGTCCCAGTTCTTCCATGGCCTGCATACTCACCAGACATGTCACCCATTGAGCATGTTTGGGATGCTCTGGATTGACGTGTATGACAGCATGTTCCAGTTCCTGCCAATATCCAGCAACTACGCACAGCCATTGAAGAGGAGTGGGACAACATTCCACAGGCCACAATCAACAGCCTGATCAACTCTATGCGAAGGAGATGTATCGCGACTAAAAAATAAATAAAAAATCTGGACCCCTACAAATCAGCTGGGCTAGACAATCTGGACCCTTTCTTTCTAAAATTAGCCGCAGAAATTGTCGCAACCCCTATTACTAGCCTGTTCAACCTCTCTTTCGTAACGTCTGAGATCCCCAGAGATTGGAAAACTGCCGCGGTCATCCCCCTCTTCAAAGGGGGTGACACTCTAGATCCAAACTGTTACAGACCTATATCCATCCTTTCGAACGTTTTTGAAAACCAAGTTAACAAACAGATCACCGACCATTTCGAATCCCACCGTACCTTCTCTGCTATGCAATCCGGTTTCCGAGCTGGTCATGGGTGCACCTCAGCCACGCTCAAGATCCTAAACGATATTATAACCGCGATCGATAAAAGACTACTGCGCAGCCTTCTTCATCGACCTGGCCAAGGCTTTCGACTCTGTCAACCACCACATTCTTATTGGCAGACTAAATAGCCTTGGTTTCTCAAATGACTGCCTCGCCTGGTTCACCGACTACTTCTCAGATAGAGTTCAATGTGTCAAATCGGAGGGCCTGTTGTCTGGACCTCTGGAAGTCTCTATGGGGGTGCCACAGGGTTCAATTCTCGGGCCGACTCTATTCTCTGTGTATATCAATGATGTTGCTCTTGCTGCTGGTGACGCTCGGATCCACCTCTATGCGGACGACACCATTTTGTATACATCTGGTCCTTCATTGGACACTGTGTTAACAAACCTCCAAACGAGCTTCAACGCCATACAACACTCCTTCCGTAGCCTCCAACTGCTCTTAAACACTAGTAAAACTAAATGCATGCTCTTCAACCGAATGCTGCTTGCACCCGCCCACCCGACTAGAATCACTACTCTCGGCGGGTCTGACCTAGAGTATGTGGACAACTACAAATACCTAGGTGTCTGGTTAGACTGTAAACTCTCCTTCCAGACTCACATTAAGCATCTCCAATCCAAAGTTAAATCTAGAATCGGCTTCCTATTTCGCAACAAAGCCTCCTTCACTCATGCTGCCAAACATGCCCTTGTAAAACTGACTATCCTACCGATCCTTGACTTCGGCGAAGTCATTTACAAAATAGCCTCCAACACTCTACTCAGCAAATTGGATGTAGTCTATCACAGTGCCATCCGTTTTGTCACCAAAGCCCCATATACTACCCACCATTGTGACCTGTACGCTCTTGTTGGCTGGCCCTCACTACATATTCGTCGCCAAACCCACTGGCTCCAGGTCATCTATAAATCACTGCTAGGCAAATACCCGTAGTCTGCGCTCCAGCAGGTATATCTCACTGGTCATCCCCAAAGCCAACACCTCCTTTGGCCGCCATTCCTTCCAGTTCTCTGCTGCCAATGACTGGAAGGAACTGCAAAAATCTCTGAAGCTGGAGACTCTTATCTCCCTCACTAACTTTAGGCGTTAGTTGTCAGAGCAGCTTACCGATCACTGCACCTGTACACAGCCCATCTGTAATTAGCCCATCCAACTACCTCATCCCCATATTGTTATTTATTTTGCTCATTTGCACCCCAGGATCTCTATTTGCACATCATCTTTTGCACATCTATCATTCCAGTGTTAATACGAAATTGTAACTATTTTGCACTATGGCCTATTTATTGCCTTACCTCCATAATTTACTACATTCGCACAGGCTGTATATGTATTTTCTGTTGTATTTTTGACTTTATGTTTTGTTTACCCCATATGTAACTCTGTGTTGTTGTTTTTATCGCACTGCTTTGCTTTATCTTGGCCAGGTCGCAGTTGTAAATGAAAACGTTTTCTCAACTGACTTACCTGGTTAAATAAAGGTTAAATAAAATAAAAATTAAAAAAAATAATGACGATCACACCATATACTGTCTGGTTTTCTGATCCACGCCTCTACCTTTAACCAACAGAATCATATCTGTATTCCCATTCATGTGAAATCCATATTTATTTATTTAAATTGACTTATTTCCGTCTTTGAAATTGTTGCATGTTGCATTAATTTTTTGTTCAGTGTAGTAGGCCCAGGCAGTGTCTCCCTCTTCTGGTGGTACCTTTTAGGATTCACAGCTAATTGAGCGCGAAACTACACCGTTTAAAACAACTACAATTCCCATTATGCACAGGGACAAACGTTGCCTAGGTTAACCAACAAAATAGGGTCCTTGGCTAGCTGCTCGTCTTTTCGAGAAAAATAAACAACTCTTCTTAGCGAAAATAACAGCACTCGACTGCTATAGCGTTGAAGTCTGATTAGACTGTCTGAAAATGGTTCGAAAATCATAAGTTCATGTGTTTGCACTGTTGTCGCTGTTTTTCGAAGACGCCAGTTAGCCTGCTAATGTTAGCAAACTAACGTAGCCATCACTGAACTAGCTTGCTAGCTAGCTACACACAAAGCTACAGCTATGTTTGTGCAAGAAGATAAGATATTCGCTGGAAAAATATTAAAAATCCACATTTGTACTATGGATGGTACAGAGTGGTTGGAAGAAGTAACAGAGGATACCACTATTGAAAAACTCAAAGAGAAGTGCTTGAAACATGTATGTTTGTGTTTATTTTCCTGCTTGCTCATTGGTGTTTGCTCGGGTCAGGGTGAAATTGTAACGTAGTTGTGTAACTGTATCGCTGATGTTTGCAGCCCCAGTTGAAATAGTCAGTGTCAGTCTTTCCGTATTTATAGTAACTGGGTAGACACTGCTATTTATAATTTAGCAAGTTGGTTCACAAGCTAGCTAGCCTAGAATCCCTGCAAGCTATGCGCACCTCATGAGCTCCTTAGCAAAATGTGATAGCTAGCCTAGCCACAATGCTCGTGTCTGTTGGTGTAGCTATGTAAGTTACTCTGTTTATGTTTCTAGGCTCCTGCCTTCTGAGTTTTCCTTATTTGTTCCACAGTCTATACTGTGCTGTTGCTAGTTAGGGCTACCCATTTTTATGCTTGATTCTTCCCTAAGTGCCAGTATGATGCCCTATATGTAGCTAGCCTACCCCATATGGCTGCCAGTCTCTTTCTGCACTGCATCCTCCTAGTACAAGTTTAGATAAGCGAGACAACAGTAAGAGACCCAGCTAATGCAGAAATCATTGGCATCTTTAGAAACGGGGTTGGCTATTGATATAGGTCTAGCTAGCCTATACATTACCAATTACAAACTGCTTATGACGCTGTAGTATTTTACCAGGATAAAAGTACTGCTACTTGTTCCATCTGTGGGATAATTTGGGGGGTTTGCTTGTTTTGCAGTATGTACATGGAAGCCTCGAAGACCCCAAAACAATCACACACCATAAACTTGTCCATGCTGCCTCGGAGAGGATCCTCACAGAAACTAAAACAGTTGCAGATGAAAGTCTAAAAGATAAAGGTACTCCTATGGATTTTGAAGTTGTCTCAATGTTTATATTTTCCCCACAAACAATAAGCCAATATGATCAATGCTACTACATGCCATTAAGTGAATGTTTTCCTTTGGTTTTAGATGTTCTTCTACTGATAAAGAAGAGACCACCGCCACCCCCTCTGAAAATGGCTGACATAACTGCAGAGGAAAAGGTAGGCCCTACAACAGATTTATATACTCTCCCTAATTGTATTAGTTTGTGGCTTGTCGAACTCTGCACTTAATCTCAATAGGCACTGATCATCAGACAAAAATATTTAATGTATTGCTAAGACTGCGAGAACCAGGGACAAGCACATCAAAAAACGTATTACAACTAGTTGTACTGTTTGGGACGGTCTTTAGTGTGTGTTTCTTCCTTGTCTGTCAGAAGAAACAGGATAACAAGGCTCCAGATAAGGATGCTATCCTGAAGGCCACCGCTGGCCTGTCCACCCGCCACACAGACCGCACTGTCACCCAGCACAACATCAGAGACGTAAGTACAGTACAATACAGTATTACAGTAAATAACATGTCTGAATGCATAGTTCAAAGCACTTCAGGAGATTTCCACTTACTATTGTACTGAAATTCTGTAGTCCTAAAATGCATGGGCCTGCAAACTTATCAGAGGCATTTTCAAATGAGTGAATTTGATTAAGCCTGTTCTAAATCCCTGATACTAAGATTACATTTTTAAATTTAACCAGGAAGTTCCAATGAGGTCAGAAGACCTCATTCCCAAGGGCAAGTTGGTAATGCTCTTAATGTTATGCCATGAACCTCATTCTTAAAGAGAGGTTATTAATTCTGGTTTATGTGTGCATGTGTGTGTACATTTTCCATCAGTTTCAGACGGAGCTCAGGAAAATCCTTGTCTCTCTCATTGAAGTGGCCCAGAAGCTCCTCGCCTTGAACCCCGATGCCGTGGAGCTCTTCAAAAAGGCCAATGGTACAGTGTGCACTGTGCAGACTTTATTTCATTATCAAAGATTATGCAGGGCTGTAACAGGCTAGTTATGCATGAGGTTTTTAATGAGCAAAAAGTTGGAGCTGTAACAGTCATGTTGTCACTGAGCTTATGTATGAGTGACAGAACAGTGCATTATTTAAGGGATAATCAACGAGTGGCTGTAAGTTCTCTGGAAAATAATGTGCCAAGTGGAAGGTGTGTTCCACGACGCGTTAGCGAAGTGGAACTCACTTTCCACAGAGTTGCATTATTTTCCAGAGAATGCATAGAGCTCCCAAGTTGATTATCCCATTTTTATACCATGGCTATAATTTGTTCAACATCCTCTGCAGTAGCTAGCAAGTTTACTAGATATCTACAGTAGTTGCCTTGCTAGCTCAGCTAACCCATATAAATCAGTATGATTGATTCTGATTTCTATGAACAAACCATCAGTCCTAGCTTGCTATTATGAAAATCTAATTCAACAATGCCAATAATGTTTTCAAATCGACTTTTGCTTTCAAAAGCAGCTCAAACAGAACATGTAAGTATGAATTTCATAGCCATTGAATTATACTGTGCAATTATACTGCGCATTATAGGGAATTATACAACGGGTGGGTCTAATTCTGAATGCTGATTGGTTAAAACCGCGTTCCAGCCGGTGTCTATTCCACAATTTACCACTGGCTAAATCTGACATTTAAATGCCTATTTACTCTGTTCCATCTGACTGCACAATCCACTGTCCCATCAGCCCAGCCAGGCAATGTATAAACTTGATCTCCACTATAAAAAGCATCTAGACATTATCTCACATTTCTTTTAGACCAACATTTACAGTGAGGATAAAAATCATGAATAGGCATAATTTTTATGTATACAAAAATATCAATAGAAAACTGTTCAAAAGAAATTAAGTGCAACTAGTTTGCTGTCTTTCCAGCTTCAGTTTGAAGTGATTGTGTTAGCTGTGTTGTTGGCTAGCTCCTCTGAACAACAGTGTCCTGACAAGAGAGCACATTTTCTACGGCAGACGAAATTGCGCATCATTAGCTCATTGTTATGGATGTATCCAAATAAATGTCACTAGAAAACAGCTTAAATAAACGCAAATGTAGCTAAACTCAGCAAAAAAAGAAACGTCCTCTCACTGTCAACTGCGTTTATTTTCAGCAAACTTAACATGTGTAAATATTTGTATGAACATAACAAGATTCAACAACTGAGACATAAACTGAGTTCCACAGACATGTGACTAACAGAAATGGAATAATGTGTCCCTGAACAAACGGGGGGGGGGTCAAAAGTAACAGTCAGTATCTGGTGTGGCCACCAGCTGCATTAAGTACTGCAGTGCATCTCAGTGGTCTAAGGCACTGCATCGCAGTGCTAGCTGTGCCACCAGAGATCCTGGTTCGAATCCAGGCTCTGTCGTAGCCGGCCGCGACCGGGAGACCCATGGGGCGGCGCGCACAATTGGCCCAGCGTCATCCAGGGTAGGGGAGGGAATGGCCGGCAGGGGATGTAGCTCAGTTGGTAGAGCATGGCGTTTGCAACGCCAGGGTTGTGGGTTCGATAAAATAATGTATGCACTAACTGTAAGTCGCTCTGGATAAGAGCGTCTGCTAAATGACTAAAATGTAAATGTAATCTCCTCCTCATGGACTGCACCAGATTTGCCAGTTCTTGCTGTGAGATGTTACCCCACTCTTCCACCAAGGCACCTGCAAGTTCCCGGACATTTCTGGGGGGAATGGCCCTAGCCCTCACCCTCCGATCCAACAGGTCCCAAACGTGCTCAATGGGATTGAGATCCGGGCTCTTCGCTGGCCATGGCAGAACACTGAAATCACGCACAGAACGAGCAGTATGGCTGGTGGCATTGTCATGCTGGAGGGTCATGTCAGGATGAGCCTGCAGGAAGGGTACCACATGAGGGAGGAGGATGTCTTCCCTGTAACACACAGCATTGAGATTGCCTGCAATGACAACAAGCTCAGTTAAAAGATGCTGTGACACACCGCCCTAGACCATGACGGACCCTCCACCTCCAAATCGATCCCGCTCCAGAGTACAGGCCTCAGTGTAACGTTCAATCCTTTGACGATAAACGCGAATCCCACCATCACCCCTGGTGAGACAAAACCGTGACCCGTCAGTGAAGAGCACTTTTTGCCAGTCCTGTCTGGTCCAGCGACGGTGGGTTTGTGCCCATAGGTGACGTTGATGCCGGGGATGTCTGGTGAGGACCTGCCTAACAACAGGCCTACAAGACCTCAGTCCAGCCTCTCTCATCCTCTTGCGGACAGTCTGAGCACTGATGGAGGGATTGTGCGTTCATGATGTAACTCGGGCAGTTGTTGTTGCCATCCTGTACCTGTCCCGCAGGTGTGATGTTCGGATGTACCGATCCTGTGCAGGTGTTGTTACACGTGGTCTGCCACTGCGAGGACAATCAGCTGTCCGTCCTGTCTCCCTATAGCGCTGTCTTAGGCGTCTCACAGTACGGACATTGCAATTTATTGCCCTGGCCACATCTGCAGTCCTCATGCCTCCTTGCAGCATGCCTAAGGCACGTTCACGCAGATGAGCAGGGACCCTGGGCATCTTTCTTGTGGTGTTTTTCAAAGTCAGTAGAAAGGCCTCTTCAGTGTCCTAAGTTTTCATAACTGTGACCTTAATTGCCTACCATCTGTAAGCTGTTAGTGTCTTAACGACCGTTCCACAGGTGCATGTTCATTTAATTGTTTATGGTTCATTGAACAAGCATGGGAAACAGTGTTTAAACCCTTTACAATGAAGATCTGTGAAGTTATTTGGATCTTTGAAAGACAGGGTCCTGAAAAAGGGACATTTCTTTTTTTGCTGAGTTTACTTTGCTGTTATTCTGGCTGCATTGTTTGACGTCACTGTAAGTTAGCCTTAGTTGGCTAGCTAGCAAGCAAGGGATAAGAACATTGCCAGCCAGTATGACAATGGAACTTTTAGAATGAACGACTGGGTCGCGTCTCTGGCAACTGAACCGATAGAACGACCAGCCAGCCAGCTTGGGTAGCAACCCTAGATTTGTGTAGGGACTATATCTTGTGGAAGGATGAAATAGTATGAATAAATTCATCAAAATAAAGTTTTTTATGAAAATATGTAAATCATTATTTGAATATGTTGGTAACCCGTTGTATAAAAGTGATAATGCCCGAGAAGCCTGTGTTTGTCTCGGGCCTAACAACACCCATGCCAGTATATCCTCCAAACACCGGCTTCTCAGGCATTATCACTTAAATAATGCAAGCTCTAGAATGCCCTTCAAGGCAATCAATGCCACGGTATAAAGTATTATTATAGGTATACTGTTATTCACTAATATTGTCTGTCTGCGTGTGATTGTCAGCCATGCTGGATGAGGATGAGGAGGACCGGGTGGATGAGACGGCCCTTCAGCAGCTGACTGAGATGGGTTTCCCTGAGAGCAGAGCCATCAAAGCTCTCAGACTCAACCAGTGAGTCACAATCAATAATACTTATCAGCACCAGAAGTGAATTTAGATCATCCAAACAGAATCACTGACACAACGAGTGCAGGGTTTTTTCTGAATCAAAAAGGGGCTTAAGGGGGTGGGCGTGACAAGGATGTGACAATGGGCATGGTCAGCCCATGGTTAGTGCTATCTTGGACCAGCTTTATTTGGTCAAGGCCCTGGGCAATAACATTTTTGAGGCCCCCATCTTGGCCGCGGGGCTATTTCTTGCAATTTTGCAACGTAGGTGCACACAGGTCTAGAGACATTTGAGGTGACAGACAGTGACATTCAATACCGCCTTGCACACTCTTGTCTGCATCTAGCTGATATAGGGTGTAATCATTAGTCCAACAGTTGCAAACAAGAGTTTCTATTGGACAAATTCAACAATGTTTATACTCAGTTTGTTCCGTTTTAAGAAACATTTTCCAACAGAATCGGCTGAATGAATACACCCCTGATCACTCGTAAACACAGTTCACTTTCATAGTAGCCACATTGTATTCCTTCTTGCATCTATGCACTCTCCTCCTCTCACCTCTTCCCTTTCACTTGTGGACTTCAATGCACAACACATCAGCTGTAAGTGACCAGGCGAAAAACCCTTTCCAAGCTAAACCGCTACAAACAGCCGACATCGTTGTCAGCATATTAGCTAAAGTAACGTCATAGTCAGCATAGCTAATAGAACTAACGCGTTAGTAAACCTGCTACAATCATGCAGTAACGTTACAGTCAGTAAGCAGTTACACCAGCTGGCCCCGGTGGCAATACATTTGTCAAACCAAAAGCTTACCTTGACTTGGAAGAGTTCCAGTGTTGTGTTGGAAAGTCATAGCCAGCTAGCTCTGTTTGAGCAGGGTGTTTCAGTAGGCTAAACTACCTAGCTGCATTTGCTAGCTAAGTGAAAGTGGGGGAAAAAAGACAATCTCTCTCTCTCTATTTCTCTCTTGCTTCTCCTTCATTTTGGAAGAAATTAATTTGTTCAAAACTGTTCAACTATTGTCTTTCTCAGAGTCAACTACTCACCACATGTTATACACTGCATTGCTAGCTTTCAGTACTAGATTAATTATCTGATCCTTTGATTGGGTGGACAAAATGTCAGTTCATGCTGCAAGAGCTCTGATAGGTTGGAGGACGTCCTCTGGAAGTTGTCATAATTACTGTGGAAGGGGGTGAGAACCACGAGCCTCCTAGGTTTTGTATTGAAGTCGATGTACCCAGAAGAGGACGGAAGCTAGCTGTCCTCCGGCTACACGATGGTGCTACCCTACAGAGTGCTGTTGAGGCTACTGTAGACCTTCTTTGCAAAATAGTGTGTTTTAATCAATTATTTGGTGATGTGATTATATTTAGTATAGTTTTATCCAAAAGGATAACTTTTTTAAATGTTTAACTATTTTTATTTTTATGAAATTCACTGAGGAGGATGGTCCTCCCCTTCCTCATCTGAGGAGCCTCCACTGCCCTGGAGTATAGTCTGAGTCAATGATACTGGTCAGTGGTCAAATCAGTGAAGTTTATAAAGAATCAATTAACCACTGAGCCTGTGATTCTATCCAGCACCAGTTGTTTGAATCACAACAAGTGAGTCCAGTCAGATGAGTCATCTGAGTCTGAAACAACACGTTTAACCATGCCCTTCCCTCACTCCCTCTCCTGCAGCATGTCAGTGACCCAGGCCATGGAGTGGCTGATTGAGCACGTAGACGACCCCGCGGTGGACACCCCCCTGGCCGGCCAGGACGCCCCAGGAGCAGTAGGAGCCACAGCACCACCCCTGGTCCCCTCTATCTCCGCCTCATGTCCAAACCTCCTCCGCACCCTCTCCCAGACCAGCACAGATGCCGCCGTCGCCAGGCAGGACGAGCTCACTGAGATCTTCAAGAGGATCCGAAGGAAAAGAGAGTTCAGGCCTGACTCACGGGTGAGTGTTTTCTGTCCCAATGCCCTGGGATATACCAAGCTAACACTGTTACATGTTAGCCTGGTCCCATATATGTTTGTGCTGAATAGCCAACTGAAGGATTTGGCAAGACGACAAACAGATCTGGGACCAGGCAAGATACACTGAGTGTAGAAAACATTAGGAACACCTTCCTAATATTGAGTTGCACCCCCATTTATCCTCAGAACAGCCTCAATTCTTCAGCCTCAACTCTACAAGATATCGAAAGCGTTCCACAGCGATGCTGGCCCATGGTGTGCCTGGCACCTACTACCATACCCCGTTCAAAGGCACTTCAATCTTTTGTCTTGCCCATTCACCCTCTGAAATGTACACATACACAATCCATGTCTCAATTGTCTCGAGGCTTAAAAATCCTTCTTTAACTTGTCTCTCCTCCCCTTCATCTACACTGATTTGAAGTGGATTTAACAAGTGACATCAATAAGGGATCATAGCTTTCACCTGGATTCACCTGGTCAGTCTGTCATGGATAGAGTTCCTAATGTTTTGTACACTCAGTAGTTATTAGCTAGCTTACATAAAATGTTGTAAAATGTGTCGCTGCTACTCTCTTACTGAATGTTGGCATCATACTGTGATAAACTATTGGTATTTTTATAGAATGACAGTGTAGTATGTAATGATAAACTAACTCCGTATCGTTCTTTGTCTCTGCAGGCAGTCATTGCGTTAATGGAGATGGGCTTTGATGAGAAGGAGGTGGTCGATGCTCTGAGAGTCAATAACAACCAACAGGACACTGCGGTAGGTTTACTGTCCACACTGAGGAATAAAGGATCTGACACCGAGGTGTTCCGCTATTGACATACTCGCTTTGTCTTCTGTATATGATCAGCGCAAAGAAGCAGGCACTTACTTATTGAGCAAAAAAATAGTTTTTGCTTGCTGTCTTGTATGAATGGACAGCTTTTTACGCCTCTTACCCATGTTGTCATTTGGAATGAGAACTGGTTCTCCATTGACCGTCCAAGTTTAAGAGAAGTTAACTAACCGATCTAAACTGCAGTGCGAGTGGCTGCTGATTGGTTAACCTCTTGTTGTCCCATAGTGCGAGTGGCTGCTGGGGGACAGGAAGCCGTCTCCAGAGGACCTGGATAAAGGCATTGACACCAACAGTTCTCTGTTCCAGGCCATCCTGGAGAACCCTGTGGTCCAGCTGGGCCTCACCAACCCTAAAACACTGCTGGGTAGGTTTGATTTAGGCATAAAGGGAATTGTACAGTTAAAAATAACAAATAAAGCTCAGAGGATAAAGGGGTGTACCTATACATCAAGCCTCACACTACAGAAACAGGTTTCTGTCCTATGGGCCATTCTGGCTCAGACAATGCTACTTATTGAATTGTATCTTAAAACCCTCCAAAACCTTTTTGTTGTTTGTGTGTAGCGTTTGAGGACATGTTGGAGAACCCTCTGAACAGCACCCAATGGATGAATGACCCTGAGACTGGGCCTGTCATGCTGCAGATCTCCAGAATCTTCCAGACACTCAACCGCACGTAGGGACCGTATGGTGACCTGGTGTGAGCTTGTGTGTGTAGGTGAGCTTGTGTGCGAGTGCGTGCACGGCTGTGACAAGTGTTGTTTTTGCCTTGAAAAGTCAAAGCCGGAGAAGATGTGTATAAAAGACTGAAATATTTATTTATACCACAGAAAACCTTGTACAAAACAATGTTAACATGATTATAAAAATAATAATTATTACAATTGTTGTTTTTTACATTTTAATAAGAACAATTTATAGTTATGACGCACATTATTTATTTGATATAATTTCTCCATCAAACCAATGTTCACCGTATTCGAATATCAATCACAGTTGAAGTTGTCTCCTTAAATTGTTGCATTTCATCAAAGGTGAATGTTTCTAGCGAGAGGTGAATGACTACAGGTAGTCTGTATCATTTGGTAGAAGACAAGTCAGACTGCATGTCAACATGCACCAAACTGTTGCGTGATAATGAAATGAGAGTTCAGTACTTACCAGGGGTTTGTTCAGAATGGTAAAACATTCCAAAGGTTGTAGATAGACATGTAATGTATAGAGTGGATCTGATTTGATTATTCTCTGTGACAAATAAGGTCTGTTCTAAATGACGTGTTTCTATCTGAAAGTTGTGTAACGTTCCACCCTTCCTGAATGATTAAACCCCAGGTTATGGGTATGTCCAAATTAACCTCTCCTTCCTCCTAAATTGTGCACTTGTTCACTTCCCTTAAGTGGTTTAAAAGGAAATGACTGGGATAAGAAATATGGTTGAAACTCCCTCTAGTCCATTCCTCCACCAATACAATGCTTTTAGATTTGTGGAAAGTATTGGGATGCACTTGCTGTGATGGCAATATTTGTGCTCATCACATTAAGTCCAGAATTTAGAGTGTAGAGGTACAGGTGGATTTGGGTGGTCAGAAAGATTTTCTTTCGCTTTTGCTCACAATCTCTGTGTGTGTTCAACCGTGGGAGCCTAGTGGTCTGCCTGCTGTGAGTCACATTGTGACACTACTCACAGAAGTGGAAAAGTAAAGGACATTTTCTTTGTGCTTCTCACAAATATTTATTTAATCGCAACTTTCTTTTTAGAAAAGTGTATTAAATGCTGTATTTTTAGTGTCTGAAGTCAAGTCTGTCTTGGTAATGGTCTTTGGTCTTGATTTTACAAAAGAAAAATACCTAGAGACCTATGTATTAATTAATTCTCAATGTGCTCTGGATGTTATCATATTGCTCTAATACTGCGCCTGTTCGCAATGCTCTTAAAACTACTCACTACAGCAGGAACAATAGTACTCGTATTTTCTGACAATGGGCGGTAGGATTAGTCTGAGTGCCTGTCTGTCTGTGCTATCAGACCAACTCCTTGTCACTGATTGCAGGGGGTTTTCTGGATCAAAAAGTGGCTTAGGTGGTGGACGTGGCAATGGACGCAGCCAGCATGTTATTTTATTTTTGTTCTTAATTTTTTACACTGTTTGGACTTAGGTGGCCTGAATTTTTTTATTTATAATAATGCTTAGGCGGCCCGCACAAGGATTCCAAAGTCCCTGGGTTGCATCAAACCATATTTGGCTTGACAATGAGCAATGGAGTTGGCAAGAGCACAAACAGATCTGGGACCAGGCTAATTGATGCCTGATCCACGGACGTCACATAAGTGAAAGGGAATTGATTGGTTGATTAATTGATTGAGTGATGAAGGTGTATCATTCCTTCCTGCAATGAAACAAACTATCTTAGTATAAACATACAAGCCAATGCATTGAAGAATTTGACATGCAGTGGTATACTGAGCTAAGTAAAACTGGTAGTCGAATGGTGGGCCTGTCTTCTTTTGAGAGCAAAGTATATGTGAGCTGTTTAACCAAAACATCATGCACTTATTGTTGACTGTGCGATGACGTGCCTTGTCATTAGATAGACCAGTAATAATACAGTGCATTTTTGTGCAATAGCTACACCTGTAGAAATATATATTTGAGTGGCGTATTAGAAATGTGGGAATTGAAATGAGTTAGTGAGGCTGTTTCTTTTATTACTCAGAAGCGCTAGTACTGCTTTTGATGAATCAATATGACTTATTTTAGGCTCCGTCCCAAATGGCTATATATATATATATACAGTGGGGAGAACAAGTATTTGATACACTGCCGATTTTGCAGGTTTTCCTACTTACAAAGCATGTAGAGGTCTGTAATTTTTATCATAGGTACACTTCAACTGTGAGAGACGGAATCTAAAACAAAAATCCAGAAAATCACATTGTATGATTTTTAAGTAATTAATTTGCATTTTATTGCATGACATAAGTATTTGATACATCAGAAAAGCAGAACTTACTTTTTGGTACAGAAACCTTTGTTTGCAATTACAGCGATCATACGTTTCCTGTAGGTCTTGACCAGGTTTGCACACACTGCAGCAGGGATTTTGGCCCACTCCTCCATACAGACCTTCTCCAGATCCTTCAGGTTTCGGGGCTGTCGCTGGGCAATACGGACTTTCAGCTCCCTCCAAAGATTTTCTATTGGGTTCAGGTCTGGAGACTGGCTAGGCCACTCCAGGACCTTGAGATGCTTCTTACGGAGCAACTCCTTAGTTGCCCTGGCTGTGTGTTTCGGGTCGTTGTCATGCTGGAAGAACCAGCCACGACCCATCTTCAATGCTCTTGCTGAGGGAAGGAGGTTGTTGGCCAAGATCTCGCGATACATGGCCCCATCCATCCTCCCCTCAATACGGTGCAGTCGTCCTGTCCCCTTTGCAGAAAAGCATCCCCAAAGAATGATGTTTCGACCTCCATGCTTCACGGTTGGGATGGTGTTCTTGGGGTTGTACTCATCCTTCTTCTTCCTCCAAACACGGCGAGTGGAGTTTAGACCAAAAAGCTCTATTTTTGTCTCATCAGACCACATTACCTTCTCCCATTCCTCCTCTGGATCATCCAGATGGTCATTGGCAAACTTCAGACGGGCCTGGACATGCGCTGGCTTGAGCAGGGGGACCTTGCGTGCTCTGCAGGATTTTAATCCATGACGGCGTAGTGTGTTACTAATGGTTTTCTTTGAGACTGTGGTCCCAGCTCTCTTCAGGTCATTGACCAGGTCCTGCCGTGTAGTTCTGGGCTGATCCCTCACCTTCCTCATGATCATTGATGCCCCACAAGGTGAGATCTTGCATGGAGCCCCAGACCGAGGGTGATTGACCGTCATCTTGAACTTCTTCCATTTTCTAATAATTGTGCCAACAGTTGTTGCCTTGTCACCAAGCTGCTTGCCTATTGTCCTGTAGCCCATCCCAGCCTTCTGCAGGTCTTGGCCATTGTGGAGAGGTTGGAGTCTGTTTGATTGAGTGTGTGGACAGGTGTCTTTTATACAGGTAACGAGTTCAAACAGGTGCAGTTAATACAGGTAATGAGTGGAGAACAGGAGGGCTTCTTAAAGAAAAACTAACAGGTCTGTGAGAGCAGGAATTCTTACTGGTTGGTAGGTGATCAAATACTTATGTCATGCAATAAAATGCAAATGAATTACTTAAAAATCATACAATGTTATTTTCTGGATTTTTGTTTTAGATTCCGTCTCTCACAGTTGAAGTGTACCTATGATAAAAATTGCAGACCTCTACATGCTTTGTAAGTAGGAAAACCTGCAAAATCGGCAGTGTATCAAATACTTGTTCTCCCCACTGTATGTATGCGTATATATATATATATGAGAGAGAGAGAACAAAAATATAAATGTAACAATTTCAAAGATTTTGCTGAGTTACAGTTCATATAAGGAAATTGGTCAATTTAAATAAATTCATTAGTCTATGGATCTATGGATTAGCCATGGGTGGGCCTGGGAGGCCATAGGCCCTCCCACTTGGGAGCCAGGCCAACCCACTAGGGAGCCAGGCCCAGCCAATCAGAATAAGATTTTCCCCACAAAAGGGCTTTATTATGATAGATAGAAATACTCCTCAGCCCCCCTCCCTCCCCCCTCTGACGATCCCGCAGGTGAAGAAGCCAGATGTGGAGGTCCTGGGCTGGCGTGGTTGTAAGGCCGGTTGGATGTACTGCCAAATTCTCTAAAACGACCTAGGAGGCAGCTTATGGTAGAGAAATGAACATTCAATTATTTGGCAACAGCTCTGGTGGACATTCCTGCAGTCAGCATGCCAATTGCACGCTCCCTCAAAACTTGAGACATCTGTGGCATTGTGTTGTGTGACAAAACTGCATATTTTAGAGTGGCCTTTTATTGTCCCCAGCACAAGGTGCACTTGTCTAATGATTACATTTACATTACATTTTAGTCATTTAGCAGACGCTCTTATCCAGAGCGACTTACAGTTAGCACATACGTTATTTTTATCGAACCCACAACCCTGGCGTTGCAAACGCCATGCTCTACCAACTGAGCTACATCCCATGCCGGCCATTCCCTCCCCTACCCTGGACGACGCTGGGCCAATTGTGCGCCGCCCCATGGATCATGCTGTTTAATCAGCTTCTTGATATTTCCACACCTGTCAGGTGGATGGATTATCTTGACAAAGGATAAAATGCTCACTAACAGGGATCTAAACAAATTTGTGCACAACATTTGAGAGAAATTAGCTTTTTGTGCATATGGAACATTTCTGGGATCTTTTATTTCAGGTCATGAAACATGGGGCCAGCACTGTATGTTTAATGTTTTTGTTCAGTGTAGTAGTGCACTATATTAGGGAATGGGGTGCCATTTGGGACGCAAGCTTAATTTAATTGTGAGTTTCGTCTATAAGAAGAACATGGCTGATGGGAGGTGTGTTTTGCCAAGCTTTGAGTTTTTTAAATTAAATATTTGAATTGTGGTGTTGATGTGACTGTCCTCAGGGAGGCTGATGTTGTTTTTTTCTAGCTATGCCACTGTGAGGCCAAACCTCTACTCCTTTTATGGCTTTAACTAATCCATGGTAACGTGGCTTATTGAACAAAGCGTCAATAAGTATGGTTTGGTCAAATGCAATATTTGAAAAATTATTTAGTTTTTTTTAAAGATAAGTATTTGCTTGAATT